ATTCCGCATATGGCCGAGTCTCTTCTCTCGGTTACGACGCCTGGGTGGTACAGCAAGGCGACCCTTTGGGACAGATGCTTTTTGCTCTAACCCTTCACCCGCTGTTGACGAAGTCATCCTCTGCGTTTGTTTGTGGCTACCTGGACGATGTCAGCTTGGCCGCAGAGGGTAACATCTTAGCGGACGACTTCCTGTCGCTGAGGGTCGGCGCTTCCATCATTGGTCTTGAATTAAACACAAACAAGTGTGAACTACTTGTAAATGACACGTTTCAAATGCCACACGTGCTGGCTAATGTCCCCACAGTGCCCCATTCATCATTAAATTTTTTAGGCACTCCAATGATGGCCGGCGATCATCAGGACAGGTTTTTTAATAAAAAACTTTTTGAGCTAAGATTTGCCCTCGAACGTGTCTCTCTTCTCCCGGTCCACGACGAGCTGACAATCATCCGCGGCGCCCTCAGTTTGCCGAAATTGATGTATTTTTTGCGCACATCCAACTTTGTTAATGCGGCCATTTTGGGCGAATTTGAGGGTGCTTTGCGGGTGGCCCTCTCAGCAATTTGTAACGTCGATATTACCGACAAGGGTTGGTCTCAGGCTCAGCTGCCGGTACGATTTGGGGGACTGGGGTTACTAAGCGTGGTTCAGCCTGCACCAATTGTTTATAAATCTTCCGCATCTGCCACGCTTGACCTACAGTCTGCCCTTCTTCGGCAATTTAGTAACCTACACTGTACTCCACCGACTCCAATCCAACCAACAGACCTTTCCCAGGGCAACATTTTGGAGGAAGCATATAAACGCACATTCAAAGAGTTGCTTTCCTCAAGCCCTGACTCGGCGACCTCAGTTCGCTTGTTGGCAGTTTCCAGCGAGGCGAGTTGTGGCTGGCTGAGATCTTTGCCCAATACGTCGGTGGGTACCAGATTGGACGACGAAACGGTCAGGACAGCCATTGGCTTCCGTCTGGGGTTAGCCGTTCAGAGTCGATATACATGCAGGTGCGGCGCGGAGGCGGATGAACTTGGCCATCATGGTCTTGTTTGTCGTTTGGGCGAAGGTCGCCAGCAGCGACATTCAGCCATAAACGATTTTTTGTGCCGACTTTTCTCCAAGGCCTCAATTCCGGTTTTAAAGGAACCGTCGGGCGTTGCGGCGCACGACGGTAAGCGCCCTGACGGGTGTACCTTGATCCCTTGGAGAGCCGGCAGGTGCTTGGCGTGGGACGTTACCGTTCCGGGCACCTTTGCTGAGCGCTACGTGCAGCTTACTAGCAAAGAAAGCGGTTTAGCTGCAACCAGGGCATCTGACGAGAAGATCAAAAAGTACGACGGAGCTCTCACCTCGATGGAGTTTTTACCGATTTGTATCGAGGTCCTCGGCCCCATGGACCGTAACACCTTCGGGTTTTTCAATCGGATTTGTAAAAATATCAGTATTAGGTCAGGCGATAGTAGGGAATATTTTTTTGCTATGAATAATATCTCGTGCATTCTGCAGCGGTTTTTGCGCGTCTGTGTGTTGGAAAATGTGGAGTTGAATGCCGACGGGGTTGACTGACGTTATAGCAAATAAAATCAAATTTAGTCAGACGCTTGGCTTTTGGTGTCATTCGTCAATGATTTGGTTTTAGTGTGTGTGTGTGTGTGTGTGTGTGTGTGTGTGTGTGTGTGTGTGTGTGTGTGTGTGTGTGTGTGTGTGTACTTCTAGCACCAACTGCAGGAAAATGATATTACGGAAATGATTTAAAACTAAAAAAAAGTTGTTTATACATCGCAAATAAAAATTTAGAACGAGTAGGACTCATGACAAAAATAATAATAAAAATATTTAATAATAATAATAATAGAAATATTCAATAATAATAATAATAATAGCAATAATAATAGTGTTCAAACTGAAAATACTTTTTAATTATTAACTTTATATAATTGAATATATATGCACAAGTACTTTTATATATGTAATCCTTCCATTAATATTTGATTCAAAATAATCTGGTAAGATTATAGATTGAAATATCAATCGATGTTTGTGTGTTTGTATGTGTTTGTGTGCATGCGTGTGTCATGTGTTTGTAAGTGTGTGTATATATGTGTAAATGTAGGCGTGTTTGTTTGTGCGTGTTTTTGTGTATGTGTGCGTGTAAGTGTGTCTGTCTGTGTGTTAGTATGTGTGCGTGTGTGTGCGTGTGTGTGTGTCTGTGCTAGCGTGTGTGTGTCTGTGCTAGTGTGTGTGTGTGTGTGTGTGTGTCTGTGTTAATGTGTGTGTGTGTGTGTGTGTGTGTGTGTGTGTGTGTGTGTGTGTGTGTGCGTCAATGCAAATAAATCACACAACATGTCATATCACATACGTACATAGACATACCTATTCAGAGCAAACATACAACAATGCACTACTACGTAAAATACTGTTAATTACTTTTAGTATTTCTTCTAGCCATGTCGCGGTAATTAATACTACTACAATACACTACTATTTGTATCAGTAACAGTTCTACTGCTGCTAATAATACTACATCTACATGTCGCTGTTACTATCTTAACAACTTATATTTCAACTATTATTAATGATAGTGTTACTACAACTACTACAGCCAGTTATGCTGATTCTGTTACTGATGTTGTTATCATCAATGAATTGTAGTATATAAATAGTAGTATTAGTAGTAGCCACATTAGCCACAGCAGTAGAAGCTGTAGTAGTAGTAGTCTCAGTATTATTGACTTAAATAAAAAATATACTTTTAATAATAATATAAGGACGTCAAATAGACAATAAGTTTAGGCAGCTGTTGAACAAACATAAAGTTTCATAGAGTTTTAGCGAAGAATATTTGCATGTGTTATTGATGTATCAATGATGTTTGAAAGAATTCAGATTTCTTTTAGTATATGTTACTCCAGTGTTTTGTATTTCTTTACCAGTACATTGTTTTAAATATTAATAAGGATTTAGTTTACTTTTTTTGTTAGTTTTTTTTCTCAAAGTTTCGCTACCACGTACGTCTTGTTATTGCAAATAAAAGGATCTCAAATTCGATTATATCAAAAATACACGACTTGATATATGGTATATAATATATAAATAAATAAATAAACAAATAAATAAATATAAATAATCACACATAATACCTATATATCATACTTACATACATATATAATATATATTTATTTGTATTATTTATAAACCTATGTAATATATATATATAATATATTAAGTTACATATACATAATGTATATGTAACTTATTACGTATGTGCAATGTGTGTATTTATGGAGAAACACCCATCTATAGTTATTATTACTATTATTATGATATTCACTCTATTGACATAATATGTATATATAATATAGGGGGTTTCGTTAAAATTTACGTGATTTTCTGAATCTTAATTGAATATAAATCAATCTGGGATCGTGACCACGTTGAATTGATGTCATTCTTGTTCATTGTATCTGTGAATCAGTGTGCGTGCGTGCGTGAGAGAGAGGAGAGAGAAAGAGAGAGAGAGAAATAGAGAGAGAGAGGGGGGGGGGGGGAGAAGAATTGTTGGATCATTGTTTTCAGTAATCAATTTGTTTTATGAAAATTTTATTTCTCTACACTGATTCCTTCATGTGTGTGTGTGTGGTATGTGTGGTGCGTGCAGTACCTACGTACGTTTTAAATACAGTGTTTTTGAAAGAATGAATGTGCTGTTACTAACTATATATTTTAGCTATTTTTTTTAATATAATAGTTCGATTCATCATTAATTCAATGTAATTATTAATTAATAACATTTGTTTCCACATTATAAAAAAATAAGAAACTTGGCTCTTAAAGTCTAACAATACCTAGATGCACTAAGTGTTATGGCGGCGTCCGTTTCAAACTCAAAGAAAGCAAATTAAGAGTTTTATTTTGAAACGTTCACTCTGTTGAGGCATGAACATTCAAACGTGAACATGTTCACGCTGCGATTATTTTAAAAAAACACGGATGAACACTGTGATGTGCATGTTCACCGCGGCATTCTATTCTTAATGTTCTTAAATTAATAATAATAATGAACGAATACCAATTGTTCTCGAACTTGCGAACGAATTTGATTTAGTTAGACGTGTCAACAAACAAACGACCTAGCAGGCAGACAGTCGACACGAACTATCACAGATGTTAATATTGTTTCAACTCATTTTTGATAGTTTCTTCAAATTTATCGCTTGCTTCATTTGGTCTGCAACTGCAATTAAAACAGTAATTGCTGTTGTATTTTATGGCTGTGTGCGATATAAAATCAGGTTAGCGGTGCCATTTAATGTTAATTTTGTCGGAATCCCACCAAGCACATTGTGGAGAGAGAATTATAAAATATCATATACTACTAGCTCAAATAGGAAAACTCGGTAGTACTTCTATGGCTATGGCACTAAGGAAAAAGATATCATTTTCGGATTTGTATTTTTTAGCAGAAGTTCAATTTCTGCTACTATTGTACGCTGTTCATTTGTTTAATGGAAATTACCTCGTGACTCAATGGAAAATTTGAAAACTTTTACATTAAAAAAAATAATATTCAAAAATAAAATAATATTATACTTAATCTTTTTTCTGAATGTGACAGTTTATGATATTTAATAATGATGATGGTATTGTTGAAAATTCGTAAGAATGTATAAAAGTTTGATGAGGAAGAATTTACTTCGAACTGAAAATGCGACCGACAAAAGTGTGTGTTTTTGTGTAGTATACGTATGTGTGTGTAAACGTATGTGTGTATACGTGTGTCTCTGTGTGGGCGTGTGCGCGTAAATTTTGCAACTACAGAATAAACAATAGCGTTCTGTAAATAATAAATAATTTGAACAACCAACACAAGTACAGCTTTTAAAAATTATTGAATATAATTAATAAAAAAGAAAATTTAAACAGTAAAAAATATCAAAGTAAAAAAGAGAGAAAGAAAGAGAGAGAAAGAGAGAGAGAGAGAGAATAAATAAATCCCAAAAACTATAGCGACTTTAAATAATCATTATAATGTAGAGCTGGAACTTTAGCAACAAGTTTACAGAACTCTTCATCGCTCAGAGCCACAAGAGACTTCAGAGACACAAAATTTTCAACTTTTTTATCAAACTGATCCCTCTTCAACAACTTTAAAAATCCATGCCTCTGTCGGATTATGATCAGCCTGGTCTTGAGAACCTGAGGCCACTGTAAGATATCCTCGTGACTGAGACCAATTGAGTTGTGTAGGTAGTCAAACCTTTGGGCCAGGGCAATTTTGCCTGTGAGAATGTGCTATACAATGTATATTTTTCATTGAATATGATGGTATCAACCGAAGCAGCATCACGCAGCGCGGGTCTGGCGCAGTACTGCTACTAAGAATTAATCACAAATACGTGAAGTTACAAAAATTTAACATGAATTAGTTAATAAATTGTTTTGTAGAAATGAATTGAAACGTTGAAAACACTTCTTAATCAACGTTAAAAAGAATGCTAGATTAAGATGAATAATGGTAAAACGAAATTGGTATCATCATAAAACAAAGATACAAAATAAGAAAAAATACCAGCAGTGAGCAACTTAGGATAAGTTAACAGCATCTTCTTAACTTCTGCGTCTGTGAAACCCATGACACCCACCAAATGTAATTTGTTCTCCTACATTTACATTTTTGTGATTTGTTGCAACATCGTAATTTAATGTGGCTAAGATGACAAATTCGTAATGAATTAAGTAATACCAAGTCTCAATGTTGATGATGGAATGAATAAAAAAATGAATAAATGAATGAATGAATGAATGAATGAATGAATGAATGAATGAATGAATGAATGAATGAATGAATGAGTGGACAAATAAACAAATGACTGAACAGACAATAAGTCTGTATGAAACAAACATTTAATGTAATAAACAGAGGAAGTTATATCGTGTTAACAATAATTTAGCTAAATGAACCTACACTAATCAAATTAGATTTCCAAACAAGCAGCTTGGGGTATTTATTTGCAACAATCCTCACTTCATCACCTTAAAAACATAATGTCAACTTTAGCAATAATCCTAAAACAAAGAGTTATGTGAGTATATTGTTTATAACTTTATTAAATTTCGGTGAATAATTCATATTTAAAATCTTATCTAACCAGTCAGTTTAAATTTTTCTTGCAAAAATCCAAGTTGTTTGTCAGTTACCAAGGTGGAAGTGGTTAGTACAGATGGAACCTTTGTTATGATTCTTACTATGGATTCATCTGGAAACATTTTGGATTTCAAATAATCAATTCTCAATTGTAAATTCTCTAATGGTTCTATGAATATTTTGGGATTCTTTGTGAATATTCCAGCTAACTCGGTGGCTGGGACTTTGTGGTCGTGTAGGAAAAGGATGTACGGTTGAATGTCTTTTTTGAAATCTGACTTTACAAGATACTCAGCTATATCTAAGTTATATTCAACTTTTGTGAGATCAACCCCCAATCTAATTAGGTTCTGTAGAGTTAGTGAATGATTGACGTAGGTGGCCAGTGATGTTGATTTTGTGGGAATGGAAGGTTTGAAGAGAATGGAGTCTTTATTTTTTAGTTCTTCCAATATATTTATTTTCTTAAGTTTCCAGTTTTCAATAGTTGCTGCCTTCACAAGTTGGGAGTTTTTCGATTCATTTGAAAGTTCTTCCTTCGCAAAATCATCAGGATCCGACCCAAGGGCATTTTCATCCGGATCGTTAAAATTCAATCTCAATGTATTCATATTGCTTTTTGTTTTATTTAGAGTTGTTTCTGTACAAAAATTAGCGGCTAAAATGGCTGATCTAGCTTGTCTTAATGAAATTCTGTTCAACAATTTTAATGCCATTTTTTAATAAATAGGGCAAATAATTTTTCAAAATTAGTGTTCATAAGTTAATTTACTTGTATTAACGCTTTCAAAACATTGAAAAAATAGAAGCTTGTGTTTGGAAAGTAAAAGTTAATTCGATTGTAAATATTTCAAAACCATTCCTTCAACGCAAATTTGTTAAAGATGGTGGGCTCCTCAACGAAGTTCCAAGTCTATTTCACGTTGTTTGCGAGTTTTCTGCAAATAAGTTTGGTGAAATTGGACAAAGAATACAATCCCAACGAAGAAGATGCCAACAAGCATTTTATAAATGGGGTCCACAATCCCAAATATGATGCAAATGTTCTCTTAGGTAAGTTTCTTTTATTTTTTTAATTTTAATTGAATTAAAAATCGGTAGAATGTCTGTCTAACTGAACATCTAACTGTCTTGTCACAAAACTAAATTTTTTGTTTGTGCTCATTTCATTTCTCACATATAAAAGTCATAACTTTAAAATTTTCAATTTTAAAATTCAAAATATAAAGGAAAAACTAAACTTACTAACTCTAAAAATTAATACTTTTCTACTAAATTTCTATTCTAAACAAATTGTCTGTAATTTTATTTATTGCTATTATTTTTGATATTTATATATATATATTTTGAAAAAATATTTTAAAGATTCAATGAACTTGAAAGATGACTTAAAAAGAATCTCATTGGCAGAGAAAAAAAATAAACTACTGAGCCACTTGAAATTTATTGACCTCAACAAAGACAACTTAATTGATAAAGATGAAATTTCTCAATACATTCTCAATTATTTCAAGTTTGTAATTTTTAGAGAATTGGAATTAGGGTGACAACCAAATTTTGTCATTTTTAATGATTTTTTTTTATTTACCGCCAAAGGCTACTGATGTGATTTAAAATTTCCTTTTTGTTGTTAAGATTACTACATATTATGTCCTGAAATTTATGAATTTTTCAATGAATTTTAAAAAAACAACTTAACTATTATTTTTAAATTGTTCTAGAAAAATTTAATACAGTTTTTACATTTATTTTTAATTTTCATCGCAAGGAGGCAGGATGCAGATGATGCAAGAGTCAAAAAAGAGGATTTAGACACGAACAAAGATGGATTTGTTGAGTGGGATGAGTACCTCTCCAAGGTTTATGGTTATACATTGCAAGAGTTGGAGTCATTCAAGAGTGACAAGTCTCAGGAGATGGCAAATTTTATGAAGGTGGAAATGGTGTTTTTTAATTATCTTTTTTTTTAATTTTTTTAAATACTATTATTTATATTGCATTTTTTTGAATTATTAATGTTATTTTTAATAAAAAAAAAACTAAATTTAGCATTAAATTTTTGGTTACTATTGAAAAAATAAATATAAAAAGTCCACATTCTTTTAAAACCTCTAATTTTCCACTAATCTTTCATTAATTTTCTATTTTAGCTGGTAGAAGACGATGAAGGTCGGTTCAAAGTTGCAGATGAGGACAAAGATAACAAACTGAACGAAACTGAGTATGGTGCTTTCCTCTACCCCGCCAACTATGCCCACATGCACGAATATGAAGTTAACCTGGTCATGAGGAACATTGATAAAGATGGAGATGGCTACGTGACGTTTGACGAGTACCTTGGACATTGTTGGTTTTATTGAAAATTCTTTTTTTTTTTAAATTTTAATTGTTATTTATTGAAAATATAAAAATAAAATATAAAAATGATGGGATAAAAACTTTAAAAAATTAATAAAAATGTAAATAAATCAATGATTAACTTATGTGGTCCAACTTTTTCGAATTGTTTCTAAATCTAAGAATTAACTTCATTTTATTTTTATTTCACATTAAGGTTATTTTGTTGCACATTCTGCCTAATTATAATATTTATATGAATTATAATTGTAAATAATAATAAATAAATAAATAAATAACTTGCCTCATCTAGCCACCCCAGATGAAGTGCAAAGAGTCGTGGATTATGAAAATTTTCTTTTTTACGATGAGAATTCTGACAAAAAGTATGCAGTGTATGAAAATAAATAAATGAATATACAATATCAGTTAGTAAATAAATAGATAAATACTATAAATAGATAAATAATGTGCTCTAACAATAATTTACTAAGTGTGTGTGTGTTGTTTGGTAAGTTTATTTAAATTTTTGGCCAAATTAATTTTCAGTTGCTGTGTTTAGCGCTATTTTTATTTTATAGTTCACGCCTCAAATGACAATTTTTATTGATTATCTTAATTTGTTATCATTTTTTTCAGTTTGATTTAGTTATATTACCGCTTAATAAAAATTTCGTGTTTCTACAAAGCTTAGTGAAAATAGTCTAATCAGCAATGATGTTGGAACGAATTATAGAGACTAACTAATTAACATATTCAAATATATCGGGCAACGCTAACTTATTCGACCGTTAATTAATTCACAACCCAGGCTAAACAGACACGAAATAAGGCACTGGCTGATGCCAGAGAAGAAGACGATCGCCGGTGACGAGGCGGAACATCTGATACAAGAGACGGACAGAAACGAAGATGGCGTGCTGACCTTTGATGAGGTCATGGACAGTATGGAGAGGTGGTTAGGTAGTGCCGTCACTGAGTATGGGGAGGGGCTGAAGTCGCCCCATGATGAATTGTGAGGGTTAAGTTGGAAAGGTTGGAATTGTGAAGGATTGCGATTGGAGTATTTGGATTGGATTGATTGAGGAAACTCTTTTGTGGGTTGATGTGCAGCGATGGTAGAAGGCAATTGTAGTAAGTTGTTTGGTGGTTTCAAAATGGTGTCTTTTGTGAACATTGGTGATATCCGAACGATGTCTGATGAATTGCAACGTATTTTTCGTGGTATTTTAATCGGCTGGTGATCGTGATGATGACGATGAAATTGATCTGTTGTGATGATGAATTTGATTTTTTGAAGAGGGATATAACTTTTTAACTTTTTTATTTTTTACTGAAGAGTGATGAATCGTTTGTTGGATCTATTTTTAATTTATATGAGGATTTGTTTTGCGTCATCTCCGTCTTTATTTATGATGACGTCTTATTTTTCATTCTTTAAATGTTCTCTTTTTTTTACATGTGATGTTTACAGAAATATTTTATTTTTCATTTAATTTTTGAAATTTATTGCCTCTTTTATTTATTTGGTTTTTCTCTTGATTTTGTTTTTCATATAATTAATGAGTTTAACTAGTTAATTATTTTTTATCAATGAAAATTTCTAAAACTTTTATTTTGATCACTTAACAAATTTATTTCTGGGACCTCTCAGTGACAACTTTCTACGAGCGAGCAGACAGGATGCGCTCGCTCACGTAAGTGTGCTTTACATCCGTATTATATACAAATCGCGACCACATGTACACTTCTGTACACTCTCGTGAAATTGTGTTTGTGAATGTACACTCGCGTTCGTGTGATAAAAGCTACGTACTCCGTTAAGTTTTCAGTTTATGGTGATACACACAGTCACATATTTGTGCAAGCATGCTAAGAAGCACTGATGAATATGTATATTTTCATATATATATATGTATATATATATATATAAGTATTTATAGATTGTAAGATGATGAACGCGTCTATACAAGGAGCTATACATCTGGCTCAGGTTTGATTATCTAACCATCTGCTTACAATGTTGAATTATCGATCCGATGTTCACGTTTCTTTCTTATCTGTACTGTAACAAAGCGTTTGTACGTGTCCATACTCAGCATACGTAATATATGTATATCATATTTACTTTATTTCATCTGGTATAAGCTGCATAAATAAGGATGAAAGTTTTGCGTTGCGTATACGTAGCACTGCTGTGTGGTGGTCATAAGTAGGATTAATATTGTGCGCTGTTGTTTCGCTTGTTTTACAGTTTGCTAACTTTTGTAGTTTTTATTTATATTTAAATTTTACGCATAGTTTCAATCTCAAGAATGGATTTTACATGATGTGATTTAGTTTTTCGTCTAGTGCGGTCTAGGTTGATATGTGAAACGTTTTGGAATGTGTGATAATCATTTGCCGAAGATCAACATACCACATTGTTTTCGTCAATCAACGCTATGTTATAGAACTGTTAATGTTAGTTTTAAACTGAAATCAAGTTAGAGAAAGGCCTTGACTAATGATTGAAATGCCAGACCCGCAGTTGCAACTTAAAATACAGAATTTGGAAAAAATTGAATCGTATCTGAAACAACAGGTTGTCTGCATGAATGATTTGTTATTTCATCTCAACAAATACTTCAAATTACTTAAAATAAACAGTACTAAACTCTCAATAATACAGTAATTAGATTTAATTAATAAGTTTCTACTTGCTGTCTCCCAGCTGAACGAGTTAGAAGATGATAGGAAGGAATTGTACGATCTGCTGCGAGAAGATAAGAAAACAATTCACGAACTCAAGGTACCTATATGGCGGACAAGTTTTTTGAAATCATTTTTAATATATTAAATTAATAATTATTCCACAATTGAGAGAAAATTTTTGTTTTAGAGAGCCTTGGTAAATTTGTTGAACTCAAGCGCGAATTAACGGTCACTTTAAACATTTTTTTTCAGGTTAAGTTGAGAGCTGTTGAACTCTCTGAAGAGAATTTGAAAATGAAGTTGAATCAGATATCAGACGAGGAGACGAGGCTCCTAGAAGAAAATGACAACCTTCAAAGTAAGGTCCATGAACTTGAGCTCTCCTTGACCTTGCTTGCCAAGTTACCAGGTCTGGAGAAGTCAACGGTAGAAGTTTTTATTCTAATTGGAAGAGCATTTAAACATTTTTTAATTGAAATTATATTTCAGACATTTGAATGCACATCATTGTTGGAAATTATTTGTAACACATAGATCACTGATGGACTTGAAACTGAGAACGAGAAAAGATTGAATTCAGAAATGAAGGAGCTTCATAGAACCATTGAGGAATTGAAGGAAAGAAACCAGGCGAGAGAAGCACCACTGAGTCATGGTGGTCTGGTGAATAGAAAGCCAGGTGATGCTGACGAAGACGATGACTATAATGATGATGGTGTGGGGCCATGATATTGAAAGGCTGTGATGATGACTATAAAAATAATACTTTATTGGCATTAGCTGTATTAAGTACAAACCCGCGATTTTATTTTAAGATGAAGAAAAAATGAAAAATCTTCAGAGTTCTTATTGCCAGACTGACGTTGTTGAAGTTAGGTGTGTGATTGTATTTGTTTGTACCTTAGCACGCGACGCCTATATTTCATTTCACTCCATTTGTGTGTTGTTATGTTTGTGTTTCTAGTACCTGGGAAACAACTGCTACATGATTTGTTATATTTTTGATCAGTTATTACGCATTTTTTTGCCAGCTAATGAAATAATACGTTGTTGAACAATAAATTCCTCAAATAAGTTCTTATTTCGTCAGAGAAATAAAGAACACTCGAAGTAAAAACACTCCGGCGATGGACGATGATGAAAGTGTAATGAAATCTTTGCAAAGTAAAGAGGTGCCAGCGTATGGAAGAGCAAAGGATGCTGACGTGATGGATGAGACGCTGGGGATGATGAGGAGGAACAAGGCGGCACAAACTGATGATGCTGGTGACGACGTGGAGATGTTGAAGAGATCGTTGATGATGAAAGAGAAAGAACTGATGGTTGTATTTTAGTTTTCACTTATTTATTTACGTTTGTTCTTTTGTTTTTCAATCATTCATTTGTTCGTTCGTTTGTTCGTTCGTTCGTTTGTTCGTTCGTTTATAAAACAACACCAACATGGACCAGGCGCTGAACGAAGAGATGGAGGAATTGAAACAGGAACTAAACAACAAACATGCAGTCCTCAAGAAGATTACTAACGAAGCCATAGAGAAGGATGACGTCATACAGGACCAGCAAAGAAAAGAAAAGATGGAAAGCCAGAAATTTTTCATGCTCTTCGAGGTCATTTTCTTAAATTACTAGTTTCATTTAAAAATTTTGCAGTGGAATAAAATATGATGTTTGATCTCTATTAAAGATGACAATTGCATTGTTAATCGGTTACTGATTGACATTCCTCCATTGCACAGGCCAGCAAGCTAGACAAATCAACGCTAGAGAACGAGCTAAGTGCCCTGAAGAACCTCCTTCTAACAAAGACAGCAGATCTTGAAGATACAAATCTTGAGAAGACGACGTTGATGGAAAAGTTGAAAGGTACCGAAATGGAGCTTGCCAGAAGTGAACAGACCAGAGTCACTCTCCAGGTTAACAGCTGCAAAATGACGCAATGGTTAATGAATCTATGTCTCAGTGACCGCTTATTTTATATGTCTTTTTGATATCTTTGAATTTTTCCAATATAAGAAAATTCATTTGCATTGTATTCATGTGTTTGTGAATAATTTGTTTGGCAGTTGTTGAGTTCATAGTCTGTTAAACTAAACTGGGGTAATTTTAAGATGTAGCGATCCCACGATCTTTATTATATTTTTTGTTTTAGCGTGTTTTTTCAATGTTTGAAAATGAAAAAAAAACTCGTTTAACAAAAAAATTAATTTAGAGATTAATTTGTAAAAAAATGATTGGTGATTTATTGAGTGGCCGGTCGGCTGATTGACTGACTCATTAATTGATTGATTGTAGTAGAAGCATTAATCGATTTCATTTAATTGATTATAATTGATTAATAATTAGGATGAAAACGCGGCCATCATAATGAACAAGTTGATGGAGGTAGCTTCTCTGAAGAAAAATATCGCAGATAAGGACGACGAGGTAAAAACTCTATGGACTGATATGAATAAGATTCAGAAAAACTACACTGAATATATCGAGGTGAGGTTGTCGTATATGTGTGCTGGTTGGCTGGCTGGTTGGTTGGCTGGTTGGTCAGTCGGTCGACTGGTTAGTCAAATAATCTGGTAAATTTTAATGATTTTTACAAAATAAATTTAATTCAATTAAAGAAATCAGAAAAAGAAAAGTTAACTTTAGAGGATAGAGTGAACGAACTGACAAAAGAATTAAATAACGAAAGGAATGACTTGGAAATTAAGACGTCAGAGTTGGAAAGGACGGGAGAGAAGTTGAAGATAAAGGAAGAGGAAGTTAGAAAGTTGATTGAAAAAGAGGTTTGTTGATTGATTGATTGTTTGGTCAGTTGGCTGGTCAGTTAAGTGGTCAACATTTTTAATAATATAGTGTAACTAATTATATTGATTAAAAGATTAAAAGACGGCTTGGCTGTATGACTAAAGACAGTTTTTATATTTTTATAAATTTAATTTTTAGAACGAGACCCTCCCTGAGTTGCAGTCAATGAGAAAGAACATGATGAGCAGGGAGGATGAAGTGAAGATACTACTCAACGACCTCAACAACCTTCAACATAAGTATGCAACTCTTGTCCAGGTCAGTTACTCACGCTGATGACGATGATGTTGATGTTGGTGGTGGTGGTTGAGGTGAAAATAAATTCATGATAGCCAAAGTCGTTGTCATAATTGCAATGCCTGTCGTTATATTTTAGCATTTAAATAATTAAAAAATAGTTTCGTTGCAATTCCACCTCTCTAAACCACAAACATTTTTTGCTCTCTATTTTCTTTCACTTTTTTTTTTACTCGCTTCTATCTCTTCTTTCTATCTTTCCACAGGAACACGAGAACTGCATCAAAACGGAAACGGATCTTCGACGTGAACTTGACGCTTGCAAGGTCGACCTGAAAACATCACGTGACGTGAACAGTGACTTGACAAGGAAACAGCAGCTGAAGGATGCCAAGATGGAATTTCTGGAGAAGAGCAACTCGGAATGGGAGGAGAGGATGAAGACTTCGGAGGCGGAAGTCCATGAGATGAAGCAGAAGTTGCAGCAGGCTGGTTTTCAATGTTGTATTGATAATGATGCAAAATAAATAAAGAAATTAAACAACAGGAAACAAACCATTATCAAACAAAAAATATCATCAACAAACAAACAACAACAAATGACATCAACAAACAAACAACAACAAATGACATCAACAAACAAACAAACAACAACAAATGATTCAAAGAACAAACAACAGCAAATTACATCAACAAACAAACAAGAACAGATCGAACTTCAGAAAGAATTCATCAGCTCGTCAAACGAACAGCGTCAAAAAATGGTGGCCCTGACAATCATGAGAGACAAGACAGCAAAGGACGCCGAAGATAACCTGGTCACCAGCCAGATATCCCATCTCAAGAAGATCATAGAAAGTAAGGACGAAGAAATTAAACTGCTGACCGAAGATGTCAACGACATGCATAAGAAAGTTCTGGAGCTAATGCAGGTCTATCCTTTATTTGTATAAGTTGCTTGCATGCACGTATGTGATTGCGTGTATGTGAATGTTTGCATGTATGTGATTACACATTTGGTTGCATCTGTTTATGTGTTTCATGTGTGAATCAAGTATAATTTTATTTATTTATTTGTATGTTTGTAACCTTATACAATGAGCTGCATTTACGATGTGTGTGTGTGCGTGCGTGCGTACGTGTGTGTGTGTATTTCTGTGAACGTTTATGTACGTGTATGTATTTGAAGAATACAATGAAATGAACTAGAAATCAAGCGACGACCCTCCCAGTAAGATGGATGAGGATGTGACGACAGCTGTCAAGTACAAAAATGTTGAAAGGTTGATGAGGGAGTTGATGAGGAAGAGAGAGGAGGTTCAAACCCTCATGAGTAATGAGAAGGTCCTCGAAGATAAGTATCAGAGAGCTGCTGAAGTGAGTGATGACGATGTAATGACGAAGACGGTGATGACTAATGCGATTTATCATTATTGCTATTTTTATCCTAATTATTATTTTTATCATTATCATTATTATTATTGTTGTTGTTGTTATTATTGTTATTATTATGAAGTAACGCCTAGCAATCACTGCACAGGAGAAATCGCTACAAGCCATTGAGCATGACAGCGTGCGGAAGACCCTGGCGAGTGATTTAAAAAACAAGAACTCCGCCATTGTGGAAAAACAAAAACAACTGAAGTCCCTGGCAGAACAAATGACCGACCTACAAACCGAACATCATGACCTAATTAGAAACCATGATGACCTCAAAATCAAACTGACCCAATTAAATGAGACTTTGAAGGTTACAGGCCAGCAGAATAAAGAACTTTTAGGTCAGTGCAAAAATCTGCAGGCGGGTTTAAAAGAGAAAGAGGAAGCGGAGAAAAAGGTATCCTTATCATCATCATCCCAATTCTCATCATTCCCTCTAGCATCTTCTCCACTTCAAATTATCATTGCTCTCAAACGACGTTATTTATTTTTGGCGTTTTTGGTTTGGAAGCAACTAAGAATGTACTCCTCTGTTTAACAATATTTTATAATTCAAGAAGTTAAAACGAAAGAACAAACAGTCGTCATCATTTATGACCACCTTCTGTGACGTCATCACATTTACATCACCATCTCATCATCTCCAACGTCACCATATTCATCATCACAAGCCAGTAAGTCATCACCCCATCATCTTCATCACCACCACAACCAAAACAGCTGACTGACCAATTCAAAGAACTGACCAGAGAGCTGAACAGCGCGAAAATGCAGCTGAGTGTCTGCACGAAGGAGCGAAACATCCTGGAGGAGGCTGTGGACAAGATGCGGAGGCAGGCAGCCGAGATGCAAAATGACCTCAACGACAAACAACAACTCGAGGTCAGAGTTCAACAAATGATGAAGACAATTCAGGAAAAGGTTAGAAAGAATGGATAGATGGATGGACGGATAAATGAACGGACGGATGATTGAAAAGATGAATAGATGGATGGATAGAAAGATGAATAGATGAATGGAATAAATTTTTCGTTTATCTATCACTGACAATCAGTCTGTTAAACATTCATCAACTCGCATGTTAACGTAGGAGTTGTGTCTTCTATAACTGTTAACGTTTGACGATTGAGAGCCACAACCATCATTATTACAACATCATTACCATCATCACATCATCATCAGCAGCACCACCACCATCACTACGTCATCATCATCATCGCCATCGTATCATCATCATCATCAGGACAAGCAGATACAAGCGTTATTGGAGAGGTTGAATGGCTGCGGTGAGGAGATTGACAGCTTATTGAAGGAGCGCAGGGAACTGCAACACGTGGAAAGTGTCTTCCGTCTTTTGAGGAGAGAGGTGACGACGATGATTATGTTGATGATGATGACGGTCATGATGATGGTGGTGATGATGTTGATAATGATGATGATGTTGGTGGTGTTGATATGATGATGTTGATATGATGATGTTGATATGATGATGATGGTGTTGATAATGGTGATGATATTGGTGGTGTTCATATGATGATGTTGATGTTGATAATGATGATGATAATTAGTGAGGATCTGTTTAAATTATTATCAAGTCAGGGAACGGAGTCTGTATGTACAAGTTGATACGGCTGTATAAACATTTTAACCTTATTAAGTAAACAATAAAACTAATTAAGTATCTAAATAATTACTCGAACGTGTATCTAGATGCACATAACCACACACATGTATACATGCATGAACACACACACACACACACACACACACTCACACACAGTCACACACAACATACATAAATACAAACTCACGCAAACGCCAACACACACTCACGCACGTACATAGACAGACATACACACATATACACATGCATACTCACACAACACACACAAACATCCACAGTTTGATCAGTTGGCAGCTTTCTCCAAGAAGCAATCAAAAGAGTTGCAAACGTGTGAGTCTAAAGAACAAGACCTCATCCACCAAATTAGAGATAAAGTCATTTTATATATTTTTCTTTTTTTATTATTAATTTTTATATTATCTAATTTTATTTTAATTCAATGTCATATTCAAATTTTTAATTAATTAATTAAAATAACTTTTATCTAATTGATCCGTTATCGTGTTATATTTTTGATGGCTCCGAAAGTGTTTTCTCAATTTTATCCAAGTAAAAAAATAATAACAATGACTATAAATTTGAATAATAAAACATGTTTTAATTTAATTTTTCACGCTTTATGGCTATTTTTAATTTCTAGGATTTACAAATCGATGAATTGAACGCCGAACTGTCTCGATGTTCCGACCTAAGTAGAAAACTAAACATCCTCAACATCAGCAGGTAGCAGCAGCTGTAGCAGCTGCAACAACCACCGGCAAATATTTTTCGTTTGTGAAAAATTCAGCTGTTTAAATGACCTTAACTTATGAAGAGTTTAGCACCACATATATAATATAAACTCAACTTCTGAGTGTTTATCGCTATATAAATGAATCCAGCTTGTGGATAGTTTAGTGCTACATAAATGAACCTAACTTGCAGATAGTTTAGCGCTATCTAAATGGATCTAACTGTTTTTAAGAATGGCACTTCAGAACCATCTTTATTTCATATTATTTTTTTTTATTGAAAACTGTTAGAAGTTACAAACGATGTTGACGCACGACAGAAAACGACAGAATTGTATATTTAAAAGTTTGAAAGGATGGATCAGAAGATAAATTATCAATACTTTCGTTTATTATTTGATATTAAAAATTATTCACGCAGGCTCTTTAGCGCGGGCATTCAAATGCCAAATAGCAACACAATATCTCTCGCTCTCTCACACAAATAAAAAGAGAGAGAGAAATACGCACACAAACACTTACCAACTTTCATAAAATATAACAAATAGATGGACTTGAGCACTACATATCATATGCACGTTTAAAATACGCCTTCAAGTAACACTTATAATTATGGAACTTGACTCTGTGACACAAATTTGTGGTTGGTGTTCATACATGTATGGTTGAAATAATGCTTATTTTTTACGTTACATACATGCAATCATTTGAACAATTTGTTGAAATCTAATTCTTCATTGGTATTAACAAGCGACGGATCGAGGATGAATGGTAAATTTTCATAAAAAGTTAGATCACTAAGTTTACCTAAATTAAAATCATCGTACGCTCCGACTGAATTTTTATCTGAATTTTGTGATTTTTTTTTACCGTATTGAAGCAAATAGTTTTTAGTTTTGTTGAAGACAAGTTCTTCCATGCACTCTAGCGATAGCCACTGATAATCGCTGTGGAACTTGTTAACGAAGAGCTGGGGGTGCTTCACAATCCAGGTTAGGTCACCCACCCCGAAGATGCAGATGTTTCGGATGAACATTCCCTTGCAGTCCCAGTCGGCCAGCCTGGGACTGATTGGGAGTATTGGTTTCCAGAGTGTCAATCGGGATATGAAGGGCTTCGTGTCCGGGTTGCCTGTGTTGTGTCGAATTCATAAGTTATTCTTCACTGTTGTGCAATTTGCGACTTATAAGGAAATTTCAATCATAAACTTAGAGAGCTCTAAAGTATTACCAGATAATTTTTTAATATATTTCAAATCAAAAACATAAATCTGTCGACAAAACAAAAGTTAATAACTCTTGATAGAACATCAAAATAAACATTGGCTGACACGCACCGACATACGCATAAGCACGGTTGAGCCTACGCATCACACACTTGTAGTGAAGATTTTCTTCTATGAATTTCCAAATAATGCTTAAAAGTGTCTGATAACATGAAAGAATCTCGAATTTGTATAGCGCCTAATATAAACAATCTTAAGAGGCGAAATTGCAAAAACCCCGAAGAACTGCAAAATAAAATAAGAAAGGAAACCTTTGTAGCCGCCAGGAACTTGGAGGTGAGGATTGTGGTTCAGTGTTGGCCAGATATATTCATCTGGTACGAGTGTGTCTGAGAACCATTCTATGAGGTCTAGGGATATTTTGGAATATAAGAAGTACACGGCAAACTTTCGGGATATGATGACCTGAGGAAGAAATTGTGGAATGATGATTTCTGTAGAAAAAATAAAATACACGAAACGATGTTTTGGATGTTGAAAATCTTTTTGATCCATTGTTATTTTCATTTCAATTTGAAAGTGAATTGTTTGATTTTAAAATAACTCGATCTTCCTATCATTTCAACTTAATGATAATATCTATCAGTACAAATTAATACAAGTTAACACAAGTAGGGCACTACGTCATACTAAGTAGAACATACATTTATTAATGTATAAGTTGGTTTCATTGGAGTACATGCGATTCAATATTTGTTAATATTGATAAAATATTACAGATAAATAATAAAAAATAAATAATATCTTATTTATGACTAAAACATCATTCGGAAAAGCGTATCTACTTGATTGGTGCCGGTGTAAAGGGTCACGTTGTGTGGCGGGGTTGATTTAAACATCGGCATGAAGACGTTGGAATTAATCAGTTTTGAATGTTTCCATTTCAGTGCCTGTCGGAACCATTTGTGAAAATCTCTGTCGTTGTTGTAATTGTAGTTGTTTGTGTGGAGGACAAAATTATGATATTTATAATATTTTCAAATTTATAATGTTGTAAATACGGACATATGACAATATTTGATGTGATCAGAAATTTAAAATATAATGCAACAAATCGCAAATCACCAATGGGCTTATTAGGCTATTATAATTTGAATGAATATCTCAAAAGTTGACTTAAGATAATGATACAAACGTTATTAAAAAAATGGTGAAAATAGAAGAATATAAAAATTAATAACTTTTTGGAGCTGCCTTCAATATCGTTGGCTCCGTTGAACATCTTAAGGACACTGACAATCTCCGCGTTACTCTTCAGTGGGAACATCTGGCCACTCAAATTTATAAAATACTTCCATTTGTGCTGCAACAACTTTTCTAGGCACAGCATCTCTGCATGCATTATGCTGATATGACCCCACCACACGGTCACTAATTCGTCAGGAAAAAATACGTTAGTGAAGCAGGAAACTATCTTCTGGATAACTTTCAAAATTTTCTCTGAAATTTTCGCATCGACGTGTATGCAGTAAAAATTTTGAGGTGCGTAAATAGCTCTTAGAAGTTTCTCCAACTGTTCTAAATCTTGGTAGGCTAGGATGCTGTATGCGATAGGGAAGGAGGCCTCCTGCTCAGACTCTGGCAGTGGCATGTAAGCACGCTTCTCTTTAAAATTCGTACAATTATCAGCCATCCAATCAAAATCCTCGATCGTAGTGACCGGCTTGATGTTGTTGTCCATGTAGGTCAGTGCTAGCAACGTTTCGTTCGTGGAATGAATGCCAGAAAACAATCTCTCGCATCTGACTCCAGTTTGCTGATAGACACTTGCTGGCAATGCATTAAGGTACTTCGTTAACAACTTCGAATTCCCATTCGATGTAAGGAAATTTTTCTCATAAACTATGGGGCCATCTTGTAGGAGTTTTTCCACGTTAACACTGTTGTAGCGCAGTCGAGATATGTAGGTTAGCATGTAATCTTTTTCACTGGTTGCCAATATGTAGAGGTAGACTAAAATGCCAAAAACGAGAGGCCAGATCATCAAACGTTTCGTTAACTTCATCTTTCTGACACTCCGCGATTCAAATGCTGGCTTCATGAAGTAACATTTGATCTGTGTTACAAATGAAAGATTATTGATATTATTATTATTATTATGAAATATTATTATTATCATTATTATTATTATTAGTATTATTATGAATAGTAGTAGTAGTAGTAGTAGTAGTAGTAGTAGTAGTAGTAGTAGTAGTAGTAGTAGTAGTATTAGTAGTACTAGTAGTAGTATTAATAGTAAAAGTATTATTATTAATAATTTATATTGTTAAAATTTCATCACATATTATTAAAAACAACATTTTATTGAAAGATGAATCTACAAAAAAGCAATTGGTGTTTACATTATGAAGCAACGACATTGTGTAACTTTTAACTTGAAATTTATATAAATTAAAATAAAGGGCGTTTTCAACACTTCACATTTGGAAATTTAGGAAAACATTTAACAAATGTTCGTATAATGTTTACATAAATTATCATAATAACGTTAAGAGAATCTATCAAATAATCATTCAACATTCAAAGTAAATAGAAACAGAAATCATACTCAAAAGCTAGTGCTTGCTACATATGCCTATATACTAGTATATGTATGTGCGTGTGTGTTACATATACTTATACATATATACCCCCACCAATTTGTTGAGAAAGTGTCGGCTATATGAATGGATGGCACGGACAATTGTTTGATAATTTCATTCATACAACATCCGTCATCTTTTCTGATTATCATGTAGCTGATGAATGTTAAATATTTATGTAACCGTATTCGCTCAATTAGAAATGAATCAGAATTTTAGTATTTATAATATAATCAAGTCCTATTATAAAGGAATATTCCTCTATCTATTGCATTGTTTTACGGTATCAATTGTTCTGAATGAAATAGATTAGTTCTAATTAATAAAAGAAAATCCAAATAAAAGGGTTACCGTGAACTACCATTTCACTTTTTTTTATCATTATTATTACACGCACTACACACCACACACATACACACACAAACCACACACACACACACAAACGTATTTACACGCACAAACACACAGGAACATGCGGACATACACGCGTTCACGAATAAACATTTTGTGTGTGTGTGTTATACATACATATATATATATATATATATATATATATATATATATATACACGCACATACATATACTAGTATATAGGCATATGTAGCAAGCACTAGCTTTTGAGTATGGTTTCTGTTTCTATTTACTTTAAATGTTTTTAAATGTTGAATGATTATTTGATAGATTCTCTTAACGTTGATATATATATTTACTAATATTTTTTTTTCCAATTTATTTTGTCAAAACAGGTAACCAAAAAAGAAAAACTTGTGTAGACTACCTTAACTAAATGGTGCAATTAAATTATATCATTTTAGTGACATAAAACGGACAGAAATGTTCAAAAACAAAATAACAATAAATTGATAATATAATTCAGAACTGTTTTAATTTAAAACGAAAATCGAATAAAATTAGAGTTATCTATTATCGCATCAAAAATAAAGTTAACAATTTAATATTTTAGATTTCACAACGTGTTTAAAGTTGACAATTGACATCGATTTATACGCGTTAATAGCTAGTTCATTCCACAATTTGGCACCTCTAACCATCCAATGACGATCATTTGTGACCGTTCTACTTTTTGGTATTTTTAATAAGCCGTGTTGCCTAGTCGCAGAACTTGTAAACTGAAAAGAGTAGAGAAACTGATAATTGTCATAGTTGATTACTTTGAACAAAAAAATTAGTTATATATTTATTAATTTCTTCTATTGTAAGAATTTTATTTTTAGCAAATACATAACTGGTGTGATCATATTTACTTAGGCCGAAACATATGCGCACGAAATACTTCTGTGCAATAAACAACTTATTAATCCAAAACTTAAATGTTGAGCCCCAAAATATGTTACCGTAAATAAGTCCTAATTTTAGGACCAAAGATTATATAACATGATTTATGTAAGTTCAATACCATATTATTTAATTTGAAGTATTTATTATATTTTTTAAGTTCTTCGTTCATTGAATTAAATAAAACTACTGGATCCTTATCAGTCAATACATATATATATGTTGGTAATAGACCATAATTTTTACAATATTCTATAAATTCTACCGAATGTTTGGCGTTAGCTAATAATTGGTCGGATGGGATGATTCTTTTTATGCGTTTTTATATTTCCATATAAGTAGCCAGGAGAGTATTCGCCTATAAGTGATGGAAGTTTGTCGTCGGTGATGTTCTTTCTTAACGCCAAACATTCGGTAGAATTTATAGAATATTGTAAATATATATATATATATATATATACCAATTATTTGTCAATTATAACCCCAATATTTATTAATTAGGCATAGCTTGTCATTAATGTTGCTGTATTTAATTTCACACATTCAATTATAACCCCAATATATATATATATATATATATATATTTATATATATATATATGTATATATATATATATATATATATTTGTATTTTTCTATTTTAAAAATTTTTCTATTTATTTGTATATTTTCAAAAAAGTCATCTCTCTTTTTCTATATATTATATATATATATATTCTCTCTCTCTTTCTTTCTCTCTCTCTCTCTTTCTCTTTATCGTCGGCATGAGACGATGGAGAAACTATAACCAAAGTTAGTGAACCCTATACCGCCGAGAATGGCTAAGTAGACCAATTCTAGAATGACAATCTCTACCACATCAGGTATTATATATATAGAAAGAGAGAAAACGAAAGAAATATGCATGAATAGAAATTGCAATGCTGTGCAATTGTCATTCTAAAGTGGCTTGAAGTAGTCAGCAAACATTAATATCAATCTCTATAATAAAAATTATAATAGAATAACAATAATAATTTAATGTTATAATATGATAATAAAATATAGCTACAACTTTCACCCATGTACACGCAACAAACACGCACATGTACGTATAAAAATGAAGTAAATTATTTATTTGCATTAGCTGCAGATGCAAGCATAACTCTGATTTAAGGCTAACATTTGCACGAACTAATTATATATTTTAGAGTTATTAAACTTCATATTATGTATTAATATATTTTGTTTAATATTTATTAATTATGCATAGCTTGTCATTGATGTTGCTGTATTTAAATTTACACATTCAATTATAAATGATCTTATTGAAATTGCAAACTAAGATTAATCTTTAGTTTGTTAATCCTATAATTATTCCTGATCAAACTTGTTTTGTTAGTATTTTTATAGTATGTGTATGTGCACGCGTGTGTGTGCGTATTAATGCTATTAGAAGTTTGAATTTTTTCTGGCAATTTGTTTGAGTAATGCACAACCAATCAATGAACAAGCTGTGGTAAACTATTTCGAATGTGTCTCATCATCGTTTGAATAAGCGTACAACAACATGTGTCACACTATATAGCTATGTGATTAGAAGAATAACAGATGAACAGGGTGAACACGTATTCAAAGCCGGTATTTGTAAATTCTAATTGTAAAATCTAAGAAAAATTAGACTGAGACCTATAGAATGAATAGAAATTAAAAATTGTAATTTTATCAATATTCAGAGAACGGATTTTGTTTCACAAATCATTGGATTTAACACTATTCCTTGTAACCTATCGTCCGCCAATTATATGGGGTCACTCACTTTTTTTGTTCTTATTTTTAACACTGACGTCATTTCCACCCACCATCCACTAATATTGACGTCATTTCCTCCCGCGTCATCATTGATATGATTGTGCCATCATTCGTAATAGACAAAATCTACATATGACACAGTTTTGAACGCATTAGAGGTAATTAGAACTAATTATTCTGGAATTAGATATTCCTAATTTAATTACTAGGTATGAAAACTGGAAGAACTGTTGGTCGGAATTAATGTTTGGGATAGAGGGCATTTTTGTAGTTTGAGCAATTTTGTTTGTTATTGTGTGTGTGTGTGTGTGTGTGTGTGTGTGTGTATGTATGTGTTTATGCATGTATGGGCGTTTGTTTGTGTGTTTATATGTATTTATTTATGCCCCTTTGTTGATAAAAGTTATGCGAGAGCTAATCAATTTGCGGCTCCAAAATTATCTTTATTTTTAATGCATTACAGGTAATTTGAGCTATGTTTGTTTGTATGTTTGTGTGTGTGTGTGTGTTTGTTTGTTTGTGTGTGTGTTTGTTTGTTTGTTTGTTTGTGTGTGTGTTTGTTTGTGTGCGTGTTTGTTTGTGTGTATATATGTGGGCATATATTTGTGCGTACGTACGTGTATATACCTAAATTTGAAAGAATGGCCAAGTTTATTCTGTGCAGCATAGCATCAATGACTCACATACGACTTGCAGAAATGTTTGTGCAATGAGGTCAATATGCTACTGCTGGCATTTCGTGTAAGGAACAATTTTTTAAACATGAAGAGAAAATCATAGTATAATGTGTATTGTATGTGCGTGTGTGTGCGTTGTGTGTGTTGTGTGTGTGTGTGTGTGCGCGCGCGCATATTATTCATAATGGAATAAGCAATAGTATGTGTGTTTGATGAACTCTTCTGCCTAAACAAACATTCTTACATATGTGTCTGAGTGTTGCTTGTGAATATTATCGAATGTATTTTTAAATATTTTAAAATTGTGAAAGCATATTCGTAGCTAAGCCGACAGCTGAATAACAGTGTGTAATGTAACAATTGTAATTGTGCTTGTAAATGTAATTGTATGAGTTCTATAACAAGCTATTCAAGTTTTAACAAACAATTGTATTTGTATGAGTTTATTTGTATGAATTTTATTGCAAGTTGCAATTTCATTGCTTCTACATATAAACACATGTGTTTATATGTAGAAGCAAGCATAGGAGGCAATCGC